GTGGATTGTATTTTCCTTCACCCCTTCTAGGTTGAAAGAAGGGGGGTTTTGTGAAAAGGGTTTTGAGGGGTTGGGTCAGGGTTTGGAAGATTCATTTGTGCCGACCCCAGGCGGTAAATGGATGTTTTGAAAGTTTATGAGATCCAGAATCTTTGGTCTACATCTTGTGTGTGTGTGTGTTTGGCTGTGTGTGTGTGTATGTGTGTGTGTGTGTGTGTATGTCTCAATGTGATCCTTGGTGTTGTGTTTGTCATTGTGGGTGTGTGTGTGTTTCCATCACTATACTGAATCGGGCATGCATGTGGAGACGGGACCGTGGGTGGAAGGAAACGTTATTGGGGATCTCGTATGGGGGAAATGTTTTCTCAACGCCCTGAAAAACAGCTCCCACTTCGCCATTTCTTCCCTCTGCGGCAGCAAATCAAGTGATTCTAATCTGATAACCAGACTCCAATATGGCACCCACATGTGCTCCACAACCTTTGTTTCTTTAATGTCAAACCATAATCCACCACATATTCTCCCAACCACACGATCTGACCACAGCTGGTCCAGTTACCTGAATACCTCAGAACGAACATGTTCACAAAGACAAAATCAAACTCATATTTTTCCTATCTTTCTTTCTTTCTTTCTTTCTTTCTTTCTTTCTTTCTTTCTTTCCTCTCTCTCTCTCTCTCTCTCTCTCTCTCTCTCTCTCTCTCTCTCTTCTCTCTCTCTCTCTCTCTCTCTCTCTCTCTCTAAGACAAACTAACTCACTCAACCAACTCTTTCTCACTGTGTCATACAGACTCAGAAAGTAGCTCAAAAGTAGCAAGCTCAACAAACTTACCCACAAAGACATTTCCATCCACCCAGGGAGCAAACATTCAACCAATCTCAGTGTGTTTGTTGCTCGTTCCCAGCTCTACTAATGTGTCTCTGCTAGCTAATATAAGCATGGGCTGCTGTGTACCATTGAGTTTCTCCACTGTCTGTGAGAGATAATGTGAATATGTGTGTTTTTCTGTGTGTTTACATCTGTCTGTTGGTATAATGAGTTTGTGTGTGTGTGGTGTGTGTGTGTGTGTGTGGGGTGTGTGTGTGTGTGTGTGTGGGGTGTGTGTGTGGGGGGGGGGGGGGGGGGGGGGGGGGGGGTGGGGTGTGTGTGTGTGTGGGTGTGTGCCCTCCCACGTGCATGCATGCTTGGGTGTGAGTGAGTGTTGCGGCGGGCGAGCTGTGAAGGAGTTTTTGGAGCACATTATTGGGAAATGAGATCTGAATATTCATTGCTGTTCCACTTAGTATTCCACGAGCGTTTTAGCCCACGCTTTCAGGAGGCTGTAAGACATTACAGATCTGCCCCACATTCATCTCTGTGTACAGACAGCTAGTTTACAATGTTATTCTCCAATCGAGCCCTGCGGTTACATCTCTAATCTCCTGCATCGCCTGTGTTAGTTTGATCCTTTCCGTGTGTTTGGCGTGTGATAGGGACTCAACATGTGTGTGAGTGTAGGCTTACATGTGTCTTATGTATGTGTGTTTTTGTGTGTGTGTGTGTGTGCGCTCGCGTGCATGAATGTGTGTGTTTTATATCTCCTCTTAAACTTGTCCCTGATTGATAGTACAGTGTGTGTCCTTCCATTGTAACCTTCGCCTCCTCTATACCGAGCCTCAGAAGGTACCACTTACAGAATCACTCATCTTTAACTTCACATTAGCCTTGGGAAAAAATACAACAAGAGGACCAGAACACGATTAAATCGCCATATCTGTCATCTTTGGAGAAAAGATGGATGTGTGGATTACCTAAGGGGAATGGGCCGGGTGACCCTTTGGGTTTCTTTCTGGTCGGGAGTGTCCCTGGCCACCCCCGTGGGACCCTTCAAATTGGGTCTGGCTGCCAGGCGCTCTCCAGTAAGATTGATCTGAGGGTTACAAATGGCTGCCGTTCTAATTGTTTAACAGAGACGCAACACTTTAGCCCGACCGGCAGGATGACACAACCCAGGGAAATCTATTTACCGCCACTCGCTCTGAGAGCTGTCTGTACACCCTTCCCCTACCCTGTTCCAGACCCATCGCCCCCCTCCAATCCCCACCGCCCCCACCACTGAAACCTAACCCATCGGTGGTGCTTGGATTCCAGGCCTGGTTGAACTCAATCCCTCTCTAAAAGCCTGGTTGTGTTAGCGTTAGCGTGAACACTAGCCTCCCGGGACAGTAACCCCTTGACTGGTCAGGGGGAATATAATGTATATAATGTCACAAATAATTCAATCATAATCGAGGATGGGGGTTGCCTCATTAATCACAGCAGTCTAATTGTTTAAAAGGCAGCAGCAGGTAGACTGTGTAGGATAGCAAGGTTACAGTAGCCAGAGTCACAGGTCAGAGATTCACTTAGCCTCTACAGTAGACCTACTCTAGCTAACTCTAAATGGAAGACTGTAGGCTACCGAAACATCAGCAACAACGTTTTGCCAGCGATTGTGTTTTAGCTTTGTGATATAATATAAGTTAGCCCACATGCTCCTTGTAAAAAAGGTCAGCGTAGAGCCCTGCCCTGTCTGAAGACGTCTTTTAACTCCACCATCCAGCTCTACCTGACTCTGTGTGTGTGTGTGTGTGTGTGTGTGTGTGTGTGTGTGTGTGTGTGTGTGTGTGTGGTGTGTGTGTGTGTGTGTGTGTGTGTGGTGTGTGTGTGTGTGTGTGTACTCTGCCTGCCTGTCTGTTTGTCTGTGTGATCCTCTGTCTATAATTGTATTTCTCTGTCCTTGAGTGTGTGCTGGTCTTTTTGTAGCCTCCGCCTCTGCATTTGTCAGTTCTTTCATATCAGTAAATGGATGTTTTTTTTTACAGACAATGATATCCATACAGATGATGTGTCTCTGTAGTGTCGTCTGTGCCTGACTCTGACCCAATTTGTGTGTTGTCAGTCTCTGAGAAAGAGGTTTGATATTTTGAGCGACTGGGGAGGGAGTGAGTGTGAGCTGTTATCTGTGTTTTAACCTTCACATGTTAAAGCGGTAACAAAGACAAAGAGCAGCTGGTTGAAATACTGTCTCATCATGGGCTGCTGTAGAATGGGCTTTAGATAATGATCTCTCCCTACGTTTAATAAAAAACTATTGATTGGCTCCCTTGAAGACAAGAAGACAGAGTAGCAACAGCAAGGGAGCAGGGGAGACGTCATAGCAACGTAGTGGTTTTTCAGGGTGACTGGAGAATCTTAGGGATTGGCGGGACAGGAAGTGAGATAGCTTAGCTTGGAGCATCTGCTGTGTGGAGAAGAAGGGAGATGGATCTGAAACTAGCCTTGAAGCCGTAGGCATTGGGATGGATTGTTTTTATGTTTTCCAACCGTTTGTCTTAGCAATAGAGCTTCACCATTGGACTACTTAGCTTTAGCACTGTAGCCGTAGCCATTTAGCTATACAGCGCCTAAGCCCTTTGACTGGGAGCCAAGCTGACAGACAGACGGAGTTGATTGCCTCATGGCATGGTCTGGTGTTTGACTTTCTCAGAAAGAGCAATAGGAAAGAAACAGAAACAGACTTAGTGTCTCAAAGGGTCAAAACAACAAGACAGAAAATGTAAATGCTAAAATCTCTCTCTTTTTCTCTTTTCTTTCTGTCCATAGCCCCGTCTCCCGTCAACTCCATCCAGGCCAAGGACATTACCAGACACACCATCTCCCTGGCCTGGCAGCAGCCTGAGAAAGCCAACGGGGTCATCCTGGAGTACGAGGTCAAATACTACGAGAAGGTGAGGTGGGAAATGCAGTTCTCTGGGAAATGCAGTTTTTTCCCTTAGGCTTCAAAATAACATTGAACTTGACAGGTTGAGAATTCTCCATTTTTATGAACAGTGAAAAGGTGACAACCCGACACTGTAGCCTTTCACGGAGCTGAAGTAAGAGCCTTTGACATGCCAGGAAAACCACCTCAACTATTTTCATCCCTCTCTCTCCTTCAGGACCAGAATGAGAGGAGTTATCGCATCATCAAGACGTCGTCTAGGAACACTGACATCAAAGGCCTGACCCCTCTGACCTCCTACGTGTTCCACGTGCGCGCTCGCACCGCCGCCGGCTACGGAGAGTTCAGCGCTCCCTTCGAGTTCATGACAAACTCTGGTGAGTGGGGAGCTACCTTGACAGCATCGCACAAATCACTGTGATGATGTCATAGTGACACAGAGCAAGTGACAACATGTGTTCTGTTTTAGCACGCGCTACCCTCTTACATCTTTCTCACAGCTTCTGACATGTTGGAACATGAATGTTATAGTCATAGTGTCAGATACTGATATCACTTGTTTTAATATATCTGAATAACACCTAAATAACCTCATAAAATTATATAAAACATTCAACAAACATTCAAACTCATAAGCATAAAAATGACTGTTATGAACAGTCCTATGTCATCTGATCTCCCCTGTCATGTGGGCAGGATGACGTCTGTTCTGTCCTATAGTGAAACCTTCTAGGCACAGGTGTCTCTTTGTGATGAGATAGAGATAGAGATAGAGATAGATATATAGATAGAGATAGAGATAGAGATAGTGACCCATGATAATTACACGCTGAAGCACACAGCTCTTTGCTGGGTGGACTGGTACTGCATTGTGTCTCAATGGGGACTCATAAAATTGAGGATAGGGAACAGGGACAAATACTCTGGGCCACACACAGAGGGAGAGAGTAAGGAGAGGAGGTTAATGATGATGGCCAATAGAACATGTACTGTAGGTTTTAAGTCTCTGGACCTGATCAGACTGAATGAAATTGACGTTACTCTGTCTCCGTCCACCCACTCTTTCTCTACCTCTCCTTTTTCTCTCTCTCTTTCTCACTGCATTTGTATTCCTCTCACTTTTCACTCCCTTTTTTGTGCTGTTTTCTCCTCCTCTTTCTTCTCCCTCCCTCCTTTTCTCTCTCTCTCTCCCTTCTTCCCTTCCTCGTCATATCAGCAGGATGGGAGATCTAACTCACAGGTATGGGATGGGGCAAGATCTCTCTCTCTAAGCTTCCAAGGGGGAGCAACGAGGAGTGTTCTCTCCTTGGCCTGACTCATATGTTATCTCCTGCCTAGAAGAGTTCTTGGGAGCCTCTCTGCGCGCCATTATCTAGCTAGAGCTAGATCTCTCGCTCCGCTCTCTCTATTCTCTCTATCTTCTATCTCTATCTATACCCTCTCTCTCTCCTCTCTCTCTCTCTCTCTCTCTCTCTCTCTCTCTCTCCTCTCTCTCTCTCTCTCTCTCCATGATGAGAATGTCTTGCTTGGCAGCTGCAGAGTCAGGCTCTAAAAAGTGGCTGTCACAATAAGTGCACGCACACACACACGCACACACAGCCCCAGTCAGTGATGTGTAGCCACATGATTGATGGTGTGACAGCTGAAGAGATGTAATCAGCGACCCTCGCTCCTCTTCTCCCACTCCATCGCCTCTTTCCTCTCTCCCCCTCTCCTCCCTCCATCTCGATCCCTCTATCTCTCGCTGTGGCTGTAATATGGGGCGGTAGTTCGTTTCTGTGAGAGCGAGAGAGAGAGAGAGAGAGAGAGAGAGGCAGCAGGTGGATTTGCAGTGAACCAATCAGAGGTTGTTAACCAGTGAGCAGTAGAGCAGGACAAAGCAGTGACACACAGATGGGATTTCATGCAGATGGGGTCTCTCTCTTCACGCTTTAACCACGCTCTGTCTTTTACTGGCCTGTGTGTGTGTGTGTGTGTGTGCACTCCTGTGTGATTGCACACTTCTATATGTATGAGAGAGAGAGTGAGGGTGCTGGAGAGGGGAATGTTTGTGTGTGTGTGTTTATTTATTTATTTTTTATTTTACATTTAACTAGGCAAGTCAGTTAAGAACAAATTCTTATTTACAATGACGGCCTACACCGGCCAAACCTGGACGACGCTGGGCCAATTGTGCACCGCCCTATGGGACTCCCAATCACGGCTGGTTGTGATACATCCTGGAATCGAACCAGGGGGTCTGTAGTGACGCCTCAAGCACTGAGATGCAGTGCCTTAGACCGCTGCGCCACTCGGGAGCCCGAGTGTGTGTGTGTGATTGCGGCTCTTCCAGCCAAGCAGGTGTCCGTCTTTGATTCATATTCATTTACGGTAACTGTCTGTCATTGTGTCTTGACCATCCTGAGGGGAGGGGTGAGTGGGTAGCGCTCTGCGTGGCTCATAGAGCTGTTTAACAGTCATTAAAAGGACAGAGAGCCACATTGTCATGTTTAAAAGTGATTAGTGCAACATTGTCCTGCACATCTGGTGGTCTGAGACAGCGAGTGAACACATCAATAATAACACCATGGACTTGCTCTGTGGTGCTGAACCTAGCTAACCACGTCGGCCATGTTGTTTCTGTCCCCAGAAGGAGTAAGTACAGCAAGGCCAAGCAGGATGCTGATGAAGAGAAACACCTACACCAAGGTAGACCACTCACTGTACTCATCCTATGCTAGTAGCAACGTTCACTGATGAGCGACACCATTCATTATTTCATTGTTGCCAGAAGGGCCTCTGAAAATATTATGAAATTGGTTAATAGAGAAATAAAAAAAGTATGTGGTAAAAAAATGTGGATTAAATGTGTATTCCAAAAGTAATGCCATATACAGTGGGGGAAAAAAGTATTTAGTCAGCCACCAATTGTGCAAGTTCTCCCACTTAAAAAGATGAGAGAGGCCTGTAATTTTCATCATAGGTACACGTCAACTATGACAGACAAATTGAGAAAAAAAAATCTAGAAAATCACATTGTAGGACTTTTAATGAATTTATTTGCAAATTATGGTGGAAAATAAGTATTTGGTCACCTACAAACAAGCAAGATTTCTGGCTCTCACAGACCTGTAACTTCTTCTTTAAGAGGCTCCTCTGTCCTCCACTCGTTACCTGTATTAATGGCACCTGTTTGAATTTGTTATCAGTATAAAAGACACCTGTCCACAACCTCAAACAGTCACACTCCAAACTCCACTATGGCCAAGACCAAAGAGCTGTCAAAGGACACCAGAAACAAAATTGTAGACCTGCACCAGGCTGGGAAGACTGAATCTGCAATAGGTAAGCAGCTTGGTTTGAAGAAATAAACTGTGGGAGCAATTATTAGGAAATGGAAGACATACAAGACCACTGATAATCTCCCTCGATCTGGGGCTCCACGCAAGATCTCACCCCGTGGGGTCAAAATGATCACAAGAACGGTGAGCAAAAATCCCAGAACCACACGGGGGGACCTAGTGAATGACCTGCAGAGAGCTGGGACCAAAGTAACAAAGCCTACCATCAGTAACACACTACGCCGCCAGGGACTCAAATCCTGCAGTGCCAGTCGTGTCCCCCTGCTTAAGCCAGTACATGTCCAGGCCCGTCTGAAGTTTGCTAGAGTGCATTTGGATGATCCAGAAGAGGATTGGGAGAATGTCATATGGTCAGATGAATCCAAAATAGAACTTTTTGGTAAAAACTCAACTCGTCGTGTTTGGAGGACAAAGAATGCTGAGTTGCATCCAAAGAACACCATACCTACTGTGAAGCATGGGGGTGGAAACATCATGCTTTGGGGCTGTTTTTCTGCAAAGGGACCAGGACGACTGATCCGTGTAAAGGAAAGAATGAATGGGGCCATGTATCGTGAGATTCTGAGTGAAAACCTCCTTCCATCAGCAAGGGCATTGAAGATGAAACGTGGCTGGGTCTTTCAGCATGACAATGATCCCAAACACACCGCCCGGGCAACGAAGGAGTGGCTTCGTAAGAAGCATTTCAAGGCCTAACCAGTCTCCAGATCTCAACCCCATAGAAAATCTTTGGAGGGAGTTGAAAGTCTGTGTTGCCCAGCGACAGCCCCAAAACATCACTGCTCTAGAGGAGATCTGCATGGAGGAATGGGCCAAAATACCAGCAACAGTGTGTGAAAACCTTGTGAAGACTTACAGAAAACATTTGACCTGTGTCATTGCCAACAAAGGGTATATAACAAAGTATTGAGAAACTTTTGTTATTGACCAAATACTTATTTTCCACCATAATTTGCAAATAAATTCATTAAAAATCCTACAATGTGATTTTCTGGACTTTTCTTTCTCATTTTGTCTGTCATAGTTGACGTGTACCTATGATGAAAATTACAGGCCTCTCTCATCTTTTTAAGTGGGAGAACTTGCACAATTGGTGGCTGACTAAATACTTTTTTCCCCACTGTAACATTTATGACAGTATTCTCCAGTGAAAACCTATTGACAAGATAAATACATTAATATTATTTTAATGAAATATAACTCTGAAATAAGAGTTATTACACCAATCTAACATAGACATTGGATGGAGAGATGAGGAATGAAAGGATAAAGGAGAAGAGAGAGGTGAAAGAGAGGAAGGCAGTATAAAATGAAGAACAGAGGGGGCTCTACTGGTCAGAATGCATTAACCTTCCCTTTTCTCTCCTCCTTTCTCTCAGGAGTGAGGATATACGTAGACCCCTTTACCTACGAAGACCCCAACCAGGCTGTCCGAGAGTTTGCCAAGGAGATCGACGCTTCCTGTATTAAGATTGAGAAAGTAATTGGTATCGGTACGGACTGGACTTACTAATGCACATACTTTTACTATGTCCACATGACCGTTCTTTCAGACTGGTAATATTTGGCCAGACTCATTGGGTCAATAGAGCAATAAAATGACTTGGAAGGGAAAATATAATGTTCCTGTTTTCCCCTGCCTGCCAGTGGAAAAAGTCAGCCGGTGACCAAATAATAGAAAAGAATCAATAGCCATTTCCCTCTCTCTTGCTCTCTTTCTGCTCGACTGAGAAGGAGGGAATGGGGATCAGAGGGGGTCGATCAATGATTAAAGTACAGCCCCCCTTCCCACCCCCACCTGTTCCCTTCTTTCCCTCTACTAGAAATAAGTGTGTGGTACCTGTTATTAGGTATTTTCTTGACCATGTTAAAAAAGTGAAAATGTATGAGTATGTATTTTCTTGTGAGTTTGATAAGGTGTGTGTGTGTTTTATAATAAGGTGTGTATGTGTGTTCCAGGTGAGTTTGGGGAGGTGTGCAGCGGTCGTCTGAAGATGCCAGGGAAGAGGGAGATCTGTGTGGCCATTAAGACCCTGAAGGCGGGATACACCGACAAGCAGAGGCGGGACTTCCTGTCTGAGGCCAGCATCATGGGCCAATTCGACCATCCAAACATCATTCACCTGGAGGGAGTGGTCACCAAGTGTAAGTAGGCTCCTGATTGGAGGATTTGTAGCTAAATTACAATCATTTCAAATGATTTAAAAGGTATATTTTAAATAAATATGAGTAAATCAAAGTATTGTGGAGCTGATAATATAGAAACCCAATCATATACTCTATATTTTTCCTATGGACAACATAAAATGTGAGGAGACAAAATAAACAAGCTCAGATAAAGACTCTCTGTAAATCATTACAAACCACGTCTGTGGTTTTGGGTGAGTTTGGAGATAGCAAGGGCGGGAGGGGGGTCGTTCACATCCCAGCCCTGTTACCCAGAGGTCAGTGGGTAGGGCTGGGGGTGGTGTGGGTCTGGACATGGAGCCCATCCTGGGAATCCCCAGGTGGTTGGAGTCCAGATGGAACAGGTCTGATGCAGGTCGGCTACAGGGGCTAATGTGTCCTGCGCTGTAGCTAGCTCATTAATCATGGTGTCAGCTATAAATGTGTTTGGGGTTAGAGAGTGATACCCTATCTGCAGGACAGACCCTGTACTGCCGCCACACCAGACGCTGGCTTCTTACCCCTTCACCCCTTCTTGTTTAGAGTGTGTGTTGGGGGAGGGGGGTGTACGTTTGGGAAACTAGTAATGCATTGTGTGTGTTTGTGTTTGAGAGAGAGAGTTTGTATTGATGTCATACTGGTTTAGCGTTTTATTTATACATGTATTTTACTATGAATGTGTGTCTGTTCACCTTTGATTAGGTACGTGTGTGTTAGTGTTACCTCAGAGTCCCAGTTATCTTGGCTGTTGGCTGGTTAGATGGACAGACTGGTTTAATGAATTGTGACAGAACAGCCAGCCCCATCTGTCCTCTTCTCTAGGAGATAAGACCAATCACAGCCAGCCATTCAGTCTGCACAGCCACAGCCTAACACGACTGAACCATACACACCACAGACCTGATCACTTATCACACATCAGACCTCTCAACGGAGAGAGAGAACCCAGAGAGGAGAAGGAGGAAGTGGGAGAAAGAGAGAGGTAGGGGAAGGGAGCAGCGAAGGGAATCAGAGATAAAGGAAGGAAATAAATAGGAGATGAGCAGGAGAGAGAGGATGCGATTGAGAGATAGAGAGAAGGAGGATAAAAAATGTTAGAGGGAGTGAGATTAGGAGAGAGGAGAGCGCAGGAGAGGGGTATAGTGGGGGGTAGAACCATATCCGCAGGAAGTAGGGTTGCTGAGGGTGCTGCAGCACCCCCTGAAAATCACAAGGAAATAATAATTTTACAAACGTTTTGGGGATAATTTCCCCCCCCCACCAAATTAGTGCACTAGGTCTTTAATTACTCCAGTATAAGCGGAGTGAAGCAAAATACGCATCAGCAGTAAAAAAAAAGATCACACCCCCACCCCTAAACATCTTGTCGTGACCATGGGTAGAGCGATTGAGACAGGCTGAAAGACAAACAGACACGGAGAAAGAGATGAAGATAATGAGTAAATGAGATACCAAACTGGAAACACAAATAGATTTTATACAAATAGAAAGTCTAAGCGAGGAGAGGACTGCATCCAATATCCTTCTCCTTCCCTCTCCCCTTCCTCCAGTCTTTGTAATGACAAAAAGCTTGATGCCCGTTTCTCTGCAATTAGTCCTTCACACTTGAGTGTGTCGGTGGAATCTATTAAGAATCCATTATTTGAATTTGAATCCCTCCCTATTCCAATCTAGTTAAAAGGGACTTCCATCTCGCCTCAGTACGGCAGCACTGCATGTCCAAGAGGCCAATTAAGTCTTATTAATTATTGATGAAGACTAAATATGCACTAAATACACAAATAGGCTAAAATCAGAGACTCAGAGCTGAGCCAGTATAGCCTGTCATCTTGGCCCTTTATTTATTTTTTCTTAGCGTCACTCTGACATAATTAAAAACCCTGGCCATCCATCGTTAGTCGTTAAAACACTTTGAGGCTTCCCAGCTTTCCTTTAGGAAATGCCGCATTTAAATTCCCACATTTACATAATGTAAGCGCTGCTAAATTAGAAAGGATCCTTTTATAAAAAAATAAGGAAATAAAGAACGCTCCAGTGAGGGTTAGTAGCATGCCTCTTTGTGTTCTCCCAGCAGCGTCTGCTCTCTATAATAACGTTCCCCTAACATTACCTCAACGTTATCCAAACATTATTTTATACGTTGTCCTCTACCCTTCCCTAGCCATTGTTTTGGCAGGTGATAATCGGCCTATTGGCGGGGCCCCTGCCCAGAGTTCATTGCCAAAGGCGGTGGGGCGTATTCAGTAAACAAGATATTAGCATGCAAATAGGCTGGGAGGAAGAGGGCTGGGCTGAGAAGGGGCGAGCTGAGGGTCGTAGGTCAGACGCTCCTCAGACTTGGTTGGCGAGCTGTCAATCAGCGGCGGCCCGGGGGCAGCAGGGGAGAACAAAACAGAACAAAGATGGTTGACAAAGAGGCTCCCCTCTCAAGTTGAACTCCACTTCCTCCTTGGGGCGTTGCTAAAGCCCTGTAAGTCATGGATCGGCAATCACGCGCCGCACAGAGCCGTGACTGACAGCCTCTTGGCAATCAGATCGGTCCAATGCAGCGTTGGAGAACTTCACCTTTAGACCCTGAAACTACTAACTACTTTACTCACTGGAATTAGACACTAATAACTATGAAACACTCTAATAACTCTCAAATATGTGAGGAAATGTAGCTCTAATAACAGTTAAAATGTGAGTATGTAATGTACATGTTTTAAGTCATTCATAATCATAGCACAGTAGGTAACAATTCCAAGAGGAGTTAAAAGTAAACTCTTCGGTATGTGTTTGATGTATGGCTGGTTAGGCACCATCTTGCTAGTGCTATGGGACAATCCACACTCCGCCTCCATCTCTCCCCCCCGCCTCCCCTCTACCCCTGCCTCCCCTCTCCCCCCTCCTCCCCTCTACCTCCCAGAGCCACACAAAGACACAAACCTTCACAGAACCACCAGGGAATCTCCCTCCTGCTGAAAGAAAGAGACAGACGCTCCCACGAGAGAGAGGGAGAGAGAAAGAGAGAGAGAGATGGGAGGACAAAGGGCAGAAAGTAGTGACAGGGATGGAGAGTGACATGGAAAAAGAGAAAGTGTGAGAGGGAGAAAGAAATGAGAGAGGATGTGGAGAGTGACAGAATGTACATAACTTTGGCATGAAAGGGGGAAAGGAGCAGAGAGAAAGGTGAATGACATAAATAGACAGATTGTCATAGATGAATAGAAATTGTGTGTGTATCTACAGTGCCTTCAGAAAGTATTCATACCCCTTGACTTATTCCACATTTTGTTGTGCTAAAGCCTGAATTCAAAATGTATTCAATATATTTTTTCTCTCACCAATCTACACACAAAACCCCCTAATGACAAAGTGAAAACATGTTTTTTAGAAATGTTAGCAAATTTATTGCAAATAAAATACAGAAATATCTAATTTACATAAGTATTCACACCACTGAGTCAATTATTTGTAGAAGCACCTTTGGCAGCGATTACAGCTGTGAGCCTTTCTGGGTAAGTCTCTAAGAGCTTTCCACACCTGGATTGTGCAACATTTGCCCATTTATTATTTTCAAAATACTTCAATCTGTCAAATTGGTTGTTGATCATTGCTACACAACCATTTTCAGGTCTTTCTATAGATTTTCAAGTAGATTTAAATCAAAACTGTAACTCGGCCATTCAAGAACATTCACTATTTTCTTGGTAAGCAACTCCAGTGTAGATTTGGCCTTGTGTTTTAGGTTTTTGTCCTGCTGAAAGTTGAATTAATCTCCCAGTGTCTGGTGGAAAGCAGACTGAACCAGGTTTTCCTCTAGGATTTTGCCTGTGCTTAGCGCCATTCCGTTTCTTTTTTATCCTTAAAAACTCTCCAGACCTTAACAATTACAAGCATACCCATAACATGATGCAGCCACCACTATGCTTGAAAATATGGAGAGTGGTACTCAGTAATGTGTTGAATTGGATTTGCCTCAAACATAACACTTTGTATTCATGACAAAAATGTAATTGCTTTGCCACATTTTTAGCAAACAGGATGCATGTTTTGGAATATTTTCCTTCTGTACAGGCTTCCTTCTTTTCACTCTGTCGATTAGGTTAGTATTGTGGAGTAACTGCAATGTTGTTGATCCATCCTCAGTTTTCTCCTATCACAGCCATTAAATCTGTAACTGTTTGGCCTCATGGTGAAATCCCTGAGCAGTTTCCTTCCTCTCCGGCAACTGAGTTATGAAGGACGCATGTATCTTTGTAGTGACTGAGTGTGTTGATACACCATCCAAAGTGTAATTAATAATTTCAACATGCTCAAAGGGATATTCAATGTCTGCTTTTTTCTTTTTTTAAATCTACCAATAGTTGCCTTTGCGAGGCATTGGAAAACATCCCTGGTCTTTGTGGTTGAATCTGTGTTTGACATTCACTGCTTGACTGAGGGACCTTACAGATAATTGTAGGTGTGGGGTACGGAGATGAGGTAGTCATTCAAAAATCATGTTACACACTATTATTGCACACAGAGTGAGTCCATGCAACTTGTTATGTGACTTGTTAATCACATTTTTTATCCTGAATTTAATTAGGCTTGCCATAATAAAGGGGTTGAATACTTATTGACTCAAGACATTTCAGCTTTCATTTTAAACGAGTTTGTAAACATTTTGAAAAAACATAATTCCACTTTGACATTATGGGGTATTGTGTGTAGGCCAGTGACAAAAAAGTATACATTTAATCAATTTTAAATTCAGGCTGTAAAAAGTCTAGGGGTGTGAATACTTTCTGAAGTGACTGTAACGTTATGTGCACATTTCTTGGATATTTGCTCATTAGTTTACTTGATTGTGTGTGTGTGAGTGTGTGTGGGTTGGTGTTATGTTACAGTAGAGATCCCTCTCTGTGTGTAGAGTAAGTGGGAGACATGAGGACACACTGTTACACTGAACTAATTAAATTACTACGGGACTGAGACTAATGGTGTACCCCCCCCCCACACACACACACACACACACCCAACATACACCACACACACACACACACACACACACACACACACACACACACACACACACACACACACACACACACACACCCCTGAGAAGCACTGCTCTCCTCTTGCGTTGGGCAGTGATGTGCATAATTTACCTCCATAATCATCTGCCTTTCATTTTCTCTCCTCTCTCCCTTTCTCTCTCTCTCCCTCTCCCTCCCTCTCCCTCCCTACCTCCCTCCCTCTCTCCCTCTCTCTTTCTTCAGGTAAACCAGTGATGATTATCACAGAGTACATGGAGAATGGTTCGCTGGATGCATTTCTGAGGGTAAGTGATACAGTGTGTGTGTGGATTCAACTCTGTGTGTGGTATGTGTCTGCTTACGTATGTTCAGAACTCTAGCTTGACTATTACAGCCGTTATCCGCTTAATGAATGTCAAACAAGCAACATCATCAAGATTATGATTACTTACTCTACTCTACAATCATCATCACATCCTGCCACTGCATACAAACATTACCTAACATGATTTGTTTGTTTGCTTCTCTAGAAGAATGACGGGCGTTTCACGGTGATCCAGCTGGTGGGCATCTTGCGTGGCATCGCGTCGGGCATGAAGTACCTGTCTGATATGAGCTATGTCCACAGAGACCTGGCTGCACGCAACATCCTGGTCAACAGCAACCTGGTGTGTAAGGTGTCTGACTTCGGCATGTCACGAGTACTGGAGGACGACCCCGAGGCTGCATACACCACCAGGGTAAGAGTGTGTGTGTGCACAAGTTTGTGTGTGTGGCTGTAGTGTTAATCAATTTCAGCATTTTATGCTTGTATGTATCTATGTATTTGGTACAGTGTGAGCGATACTTACAGCCTGTTACCTGTCAATCACAGGGAGGGAAGATCCCCATTCGCTGGACAGCCCCAGAGGCCATCGCCTACAGGAAGTTCACCTCGGCCAGCGACGTGTGGAGCTACGGCATCGTCATGTGGGAAGTGATGTCGTATGGGGAGAGGCCATATTGGGACATGAGTAACCAGGATGTAAGTCTACAATAAGAACATATTCAGGTTTAAAACGTAAAATAATAATTATGTTATGTCATTATAAAAAGTATTATCTGTGCAATTACAGCTGTACAATTTTCATGATTCCATCCTATTATTCAATTATAAAAATTGTAATCTAGCTCACAGTCTACCGTCAACCCTAACCTCTAACCTTTGCCCTCTCTCCCCCCAGGTGATCAAGGCCATAGATGAGGGGTACAGGCTTCCCCCACCCATGGACTGCCCCGTGGCACTGCACCAGCTGATGCTGGACTGCTGGCAGAGGGAGAGGGGCGACAGGCCCAAGTTTGGCCAAATCGTCAACATGCTGGACAAACTGATCCGGAACCCCAACAGCCTGAAGAGGACTGGAGGAGAGACCACACGGTGAGACAGGGATTTCCTGGTTTATTCACTATTATTGGAATGTGTGTAATCAGTACTGTTTTATATACTTCCATACAACATTAACTGAATGGTACACCTTGTAAAATACAGTATGCGTTCTAATAGAGTTGAGAATTACAATGGTAGCTAGCAGTATGTAATAAAAAGCCCCCTTTAAATAGGAGCCATTACTCCTAGGAAGACTTATGTGTGTTTATAGACCCAGAACTAGTCGGGGAGGGAAGTCTTTTCCACTTTAACACAGGGAGAGAGGGAGAGAGAGAGAGGGCGAGAGACGGGGAGAAGGGGAGAGAGAGTCCTAGAGGAGTAATTAGTGGAACTGAATCCCATGAACAGCTTTTACAGTTAAAGAAGGGGGAGGGATGTTCTACAGGGGTGGGGGTGGAGAGGGGGTGTAGCAACATATCAAATCCACATACTGGTTCCATGGCTCAGGGTGGTAGAGATGGAGAAAGACGCTCAAAGCACCACAGTATTTCACAACAACTTTCGCAACAAAGTAAGGGGCCTGTGTACTACCCCAGAGCTCCCCCCACCCCACCCTGACCCCTCCAACAGTCCCCAGCCCCCCCAGCCAGACCAAAGTGGCGCTTGAACCCAGCAGCCCAAGCCTTTCAGCCAACACCTGTTAAATTATGGAGGAGGGGAGGAGGGGAGGAGGGGAGCAGTGGAGCGGGACCGTAGTGAGCGTGCTCAATCCCTCACCTCGGCCACACCAGCCCTGGGTAAATATTTGATGGCAGACATCGTTGTGAAGGAGGGATGGAGGGATGGAAAAGGAGGGGGAATGTAGTTCTCTGTTGGTGTGTGCCTTTAAAGAACGACATGAGTCATGATGAATATCTGCATGCTGGGGGAGAAGCAGTGTGAGGTTAAAGCCACAGTGTGTGTTGTTAATGTTTTCTATTTAAATAAGGATTAACTAACCGTGTCAGTGACACCAGGGAGAAACTGTGTTTCACTTGGCTTCTGTCTTGGAGGACAAATAGAGATGGGAGGCATGCTAGCGCTTAGTTTGACTAACCTGCTGATTCCATCAGAAAAAATATGTGACAGAAAGATAGAAGAGAGGCTGAAGAATTACAGTTCCTTTTTCAAAGTCTCAGGGTAGACTGTAGTTCACATGTGCCTGGCCCCTGGGATAGGCTAATGTCAGATGATGAAAAACATCACTACCCATAAGGCCAGAGGGCACCGTGTTTCTCCCTCCTCCTCAGGTCCTGATTTAATTGGTTGAGTAACAGGTGAGGGGATGTAAGAAACAAGAGCAGTGCCATTCTAATCCATCAGTTTCTTACTGCCAAGTCATTTGACAACAGTTTCTCAAAATGGTGGTTTAGGTAGCTTGATACACAGTTAGTGGGTTGAGGCTTATTCATTTCGGTCAATGGGTGAAGATTGTAGTTATAAAAAAAATAAAGTATTTATTTATTTGGTGGGTCAAAAGAAAACATACTAAAGATTTAGGTGGGTTAGACAACAGAAAGGTTTAGGTACCGTTGCTTTAATATAGTGGAAGTTGTCTGGATGTAGACTGACCCTCTCCCACTCCATCCCTCTCTGTCCCCAGACCCAGTACCACCCTCCTGGAGCCGGTCAGCCCGGAGGTGGCCTCGGCCCTGGGCTCTGTGGAGGACTGGCTGCAGGCCATCGGCATGGAGAGATACAGTGACAACTTCACCGCAGCAGGATACACCACCCCAGAGGCTGTGGTTCATATGACACAGGAGTGAGTTATGCTTGGTTTACTCAGCATCCAGGAGAGACTTGTCTGACTTTTTTACTCAGTTATATAAGGTTGGGTTGGCACCTAGAGAGGCTGTTTAATCTAACATATGAATCAGAAAGCTATCATAGTTTGTCTTGGTTCCTAATGTTTTCTTTCCTCCTCTTGTTAAAACAGGGACATGGGCCGAATTGGAATCTCCTCAGCTTCACACCAGAATAAAATCCTGACCAGCGTCCAGGGAATGCTCTCCCAAATGCAACAGATGCAAGGCAGAATGGTTCCGGTCTGATCCAGGAGAAGGAAACAACTTAATTTCTTACGGATAATAAAAATAAAATATAAAAAGACAAATTAACAATCAAATTGTTTACCTCATCCATGCACTTTAAATTGGATTTAAAAGAAGAAGAGAAGAACAAGAAGAAGAAAAGTGGGAAAAAAATGCACTTTTTACCAGACATTAGACCTTGCCCTTTTGAGAACGGGATATTTTTCTGTCCAAGCGGCTCTGGGAACGGGAAGGACGGAAAGCTTTTCCGAGAGGCCAACTGGAGTGCCTTCAATGGTCTGGAAGGAATTCAGAGGGGATCGCTCCTCTGGGCAAGAGTAATGTTTCTGGAAAGTTCTGTCTGGAATACCCACAGAGCAGGGTTTTGTCCCGTAACTGTGTTCTGTTCTGTGTGTATGAATTGTTCTCTGTGACTCGCTGCCATACCCTTCATTGTCTTTCTCAGCTGGATCCATTCGAACACCAACAGACAAAATGGAGGATTCCAACCTCGAGATAAACACTGATGTTCTGAATCTGAGGTTGAGGGAGGGATGGATGGAGGAGGGAGGGGAAGGGAGTTCTGTGTTTTGCTCTGTTCTGGTCTTGTTTTGTCCCAGAATGGGCTGTTTTGTTGCCCTCAGGACATTAAGCATTTTTCTCAGAATGTCTTTGATCTAAAGAGGTGCATTCCTACCCCTTGTCCTCCCAAACCACCATCTCACCCCTCCTCAAACATTTTATTTGGATCATCTTTCATCACCCCCTTTGGATTACAGCCCGTCCCCCTGGGTCTGATTATTGCTCTATGTTCTTTGACGGACAGCTGTTTGGACCAGTTTGATTCTTACTGTGTATTTGTTTCCTGAACATGGAACTGAGAGCAAAGGAGTATGGGATTTATTTGGACACAACTGTGCACTACTGCGGAGAGATGGATATGTAACAAAACAACAACGACATCAAAATAAACAAGAGAAAACATGCTGGACATTATTCAATCATCAATCACCATGGTAAGGATCTATAAACGACCCTTCCCTTAGTTATTTTAGTCAAGTTATCGTTACTCATTGTGTATTTATTCCTTGTGTAATTTTTTAAAACAATTACTTCTCTTTTTACCTCTCTGCATTGTTGGGAAGGGTCCATACGTAAGCATTTCACTGTTAGTCTACACCTGTTGTTTCCCGAAGCATGTGACAAATAACATTTGATTTGATTTGAATTGATTTGATTTCTATTTGACGTATCTTTGTTGGCATTAACACAACAAACAAACAAACTATTAACTATAAAACACTATAGTATGTGAGCTTATTCAGGTCTGAGCTGGATCATTATGTACAGTGCATTCACAAAGTATTCAGACCCCTTGACTTTTTCCACATTTTGTTACGTTATTCTAAATTGGATTAAATAAAAACATGTCCTCGTCAATCTACACACAATACCCCATAATGACGAAGCAAAAACAGGGTTTTAGACATTTTTGAAAATGTATAAAAAATAAAAAACATAAATAACTTATTTACATACAGTTGAAGTCGGAAGTTTACATACACCTTAGCCAAATACATTTAAACTCAGTTTTTCACAATTCCTGACATTTAATCCTAGTAAAAATGCCCTGTCTTAGGTCAGTTAGGATCACCACTTTATTTTAAGAATGTGAAATGTCAGAATAATAGTAGAGAGAATGATTTATTTCAGCTTTTATTTCTTTAATCACATTCCCAGTGGGTCAGAAGTTTACATACACTCAATTAGTATTTGGTAGCATTGCCTTTAAATTGTTTAACTTGGGTCAAACATTTCAGGTAGCCTTCCACAAGCTTCCCACAATAAGTTGGGTGAATTTTGGCCCATTCCTCCTGACAGAGCTGGTGTAACTGAGTCAGGTTTGTAGGCCTTCTTGCTCGCACACGCTTTTTCAGTTCTGCCCACAAATGTTCTATAGGATTGAGGTCAGGGTTTTGTGATGGCCACTCCAATACCTTGACTTTGTTGTCCTTAAGACATTTTGCCACAACTTTGGAAGTATGTTTGGGGTCATTGTCCATTTGGAAGACCCATTTGCGACTAAGCTTTAACTTCCTGACTGATGTCTTGAGATGTTGCTTCAATATATCCACATAATTTTCCTTCCTCATGATGCCATCTATTTTGTGAAGTGCACCAGTCCCTCCTGCAGCAAACCACCCCCACAGCATGATGCTGCCACCCCCGTGCTTCACGGTTGGGATGGTGTTCTTTGGCTTGCAAGCATCCCCCTTTTTCCACCAAACATAACAATGGTCATTATGGCCAAACAGTTCTATTTTTGTTTCATCAGACCAGAGGATATTTCTCCAAAAAGTATGATCTTTGTCCCCATGTGCAGTTGCAAACCATAGTCTGTCTTTTTTATGGCGGTTTTGGAGCAGTGGCTTCTTCCTTGCTGAGTGGCCTTTCAGGTTATGTCGATATAGGGCTCGTTTTACTGTGGCTATAGATACCTTTGTACCTGTTTCCTCCAGCATCTTCACAAGGTCCTTTGCTGTTGTTCTGGGATTGATTTGCACTTTTCGCACCAAAGTACATTCATCTCTAGGAGATTCCTGAGCGGTATGACGGCTGTGTGGTCCCATGGTGTTTATACTTGCGTACTATTGTTTGTACAGATTAACGTTGTACCTTCAGGCATTTGGAAATTGCTCCCAATGATGAACCAGACTTGTGGAGGTCTACAATTTTCTTTCTGAGGTATTGGCTGATTTCTTTGGAATTTCCCATGATGTCAAGCAAAGAGGCACTGAGTTTCAAGGTAGGCCTTGAAATACCTCCACAGGTACACCTCCAATTGACTCAAATAATGTCAATTAGCCTATCAGAAGCTTCTAAAGCCATGACATCATTTTCTGGAATTTTCCAAGCTGTTTAAAGGCACAGTCAACTTAGTGTATGTAAACTTCTGACCTACTGGAATTGTGATACAGTGAATTATAAGTGAAATAATCTGTCTATAAACAATTGTTGGAAATATTACTTGTGTCATGCACAAAGTAGATGTCCTAACCAACTTGTTTGTTAACAAGAAATTTGTGGAGTGGTTGAAAAACGAGTTTTAATGACTCCAACCTAAGTTTATGTAAACTTCCGACTTCAACTGTAAGTATTCAGACCTTTTGCTATGAGACTCGAAATTGAGCTCAGGTGCATCCTGTTTCCATTCATCATCCTTGAGCTGTTTTTACAACTTGATTGGAGTCCACCTGTGGTAAATTCAATTGATTAGACATGATTTGGAAAGGCACACACCTGTCTATATAAGGTCCCACAGTTGACAGTGCATGTCAGAGCAAAAACAAAGCCATGATGTCGAAGGAATTGTCCATAGAGCTCCGAGACAGGATTGTGTTGAGACACAGATCTGGGGAAGGGTACCAAAACATTTCTGCAGCATTGAAGGTCCCTAAGAACACAGTGGCCTCCATCATTCTTAAATGGAAGAAGTTTAGAACCACCAAGACTCTTCCTAGAGCTGGCCAATCGGGGGAGAAGGGCCTTGGTTAGGGAGGTGACCAAGAACCCGATGGTCACTCTGACAGAGCTCCAGAGTTCCTCTTTGGAGATGGGAGAAACTTCCAGAAGGACAACCATTTCTGCAGCACTCCTCCAATCAGGCTTTTATGGTAGAGTGGCTAGACGGAAGCCACTCCTCAGTAAAAGGCACATGACAGCCCGCTTGGAGTTTGCCAAAAGGCACCTAAAGGACTCTTAGACCATGAGAAACAAGATTCTCTGGTCTGATGAAACCAAGATTGAACTCTTTGGCCTGAATGCCAAGCGTCACGTCTGGAGGAAACCTGGCACAATCCCTACAGTGAAGCATGGTGGTGGCAGCATCATGCTGTGGGGATGTTTTTCAGCGGCAGGGACTGGGAGACTAGTCAGGAAGGAGGGAAAGATGAACGGAGCAAAGCACAGAGAGATCCTTGATGAAAACCTGCTCCAGAGTGCTCAGGACCTCAGACTGGGGCGAAGGTTCACCTTCCAACAGGACAACAACCCCAAGCACACAGCCAAGACAACGCAGGAGTGGCTTCGTGACAAGTCTCTGAATGTCCTTGAGTGGCCCAGCCAGGGCCATCTCTGGAGAGACCTGAAAATAGCTGTGCAGCGACACTACCCATCCAACCTGACAGAGTTTGAGAGGATCTGCAGAGAAGAATGGGAGAAACTCCCAACTGCCAAGCTTGTAGCATCGTACCCAAGAAGACTCTAATCTGTAATCGCTGCCAAAGCTGCTTCAACAAAGTACTGAGTAAAGGGTCTGAATACTTATGTAAATGTGATATTTCAGTTAAAAAATATATATAAATTAGCTAAACATTCTAAAAACCTGTTTTTGCTTTGACATTATGGGGTATTGTGTGTAGATTGATGAGGGAAAAAACAATTTAATCAATTTTAGAATAAGGCTGTAACGTAACAAAATGTGTAAAAAGTCAAGGGTCTGAATACTTTCCGAATGCACTGTATATACTGCGGTAATGTTGGCAATTACACTTTCTAAACCTCTGCAGTGTGTACATACTGTGGTACTGTCTAACACTCTCTCTGCAGTGTATCTATACTGTAGTACTAACTCTCTCTCTGCAGTGTATCTATACTGTAGTACTAACTCTCTCTCTGCAGTGTATCTATACTGTAGTACTGTCTCTCTCTCTCTCTCTCTCTGCAGTGTATCTGTA